TACGATACTTGACTTTTGTATGAAACTCAAAGCGTAATACGTGTTCCCTAGCGTATGAGAAAGTCTCCTCGATGGTTGATTACGATTGGCTTAGTGCTATCCTTAAATAAACAAGCTGCTATTAACTCGAAAGGATAAAAATTACTTTGATAATGATCGATACGTACATATATATATATATATATATATATATATATATATATATATATATGCATAATTATCTTTATAAACGTTTAAAAAGACTTATTTATATGAACGCGTATTTGTTTAGCGAAAAAAAAAGATAAAAAGAGAGAAAGCATAAGTAAATGATATTATAGAAAAGAAAATAATATGTAGACGTTGGAAAAACTTGGAGTTTCATAGCCGATCGATCATGGAGAGCAGTTTCCTTGGTATCTTCTCGCGTACGTGGATTAAACGTTGGTAGGGCTAGAATGTCCGCGTCTTTGAACTTGACACGGGTCACCTGACTCCGTGGCCTTTAGACTCGATCCGCCTTGTCGCGACCCTCCTTTCGCTCCTTGACTCGCCCTCTCTCCGAGTCTCTCCCCTGACTCTCTGATAACGTCCTCGATAATCCCACGCTATCCATTACTCACCTCCACTTTTAAAACCCCCCGTCGAAGCTTCTAAAAGAAGAAGCCTCCTATATATAATATATATATATATATATATTTCTTTTCAATATTACGACGTTAAGAATGCATATTCTATAATATTTAACATCATCATTTTAATCAAATAATTATCATAGTTTATCGAAGAAAATTTTATCATACCTACATTATGCGAATATACCAAAACCTAGATATGATTACAGGAACATACGAATACGATGAACATATCTACCTGAATTATCGGTGGAATAACAAATGATTATGTATTCAAAAATATTCGTTCATTGGAATTGGAGAAAAAGAGAGGGAGAGAGAAAATGGAAAGAGAGAAAGAGAGAGAGAGAGAGAGAGAGAGAGAGAGAGAGAAAGAAAGAGAGGGAGAGAGAAAGCTAATCAAATAGTAACGCATACTAATTAACCGATTACGTTTTCGAGGTTGTTAGCTCTCGGTCCACGCGGTGCACGACACGTCGAACTACAGCTAATGGGTCGATATTCGCGGTAGAAAATTAAATAGATAACTATATTTGCCGAATACAGGGTTGGACGTTGTTCGGCCAATAATAAACAATCCGTTATAGGCTTAATTACGCGAGTTGTCATCGTCGCTTATATATAGACATGCATTTTCTATCTTTCTCTCTCTCTCTCTCTCTCCCTCTCTCCTTCTTCCTATATCTCTCCGTATTTTCCTGCGGTATAGATCGTTAATCAAGACCGAGCGTGGTTCTCTTTGACGAGAACTATAAATTACCAAATTTCATCGATATACACTCAAATCTGTGACTAATTATCGATCGTAATATATGTAGTGAGCGAAGATATTCACGAGCTGGGTACTTCCAATGCTTTTAGAAAGATTATCATTGATTATAATTTATAGAGATCATTAGAGGAACAAAATTAAATAATTTTAAATTTAAATAAAATGTTTAAAGCATATATTTTATCGATGATAATCGATTGGTATCATTTATTATTATTGAAATTCTCAAATAAATATTTTCATAATTAATAATTAATTCTTATATACTTATCGATAATTATATATTTCCTTTTGGGATTTTATCGTTTAGAAATAAAAAGGGGAAAATCATTTGACGAACGGAATCTATCTTTCATTCAATTCTATTCCTTTTAAAATATGATAAAATCTCGATCTGTCTATATCGTAAAAATTTACTTCTCGTCATTGCTTTTGGTAATACGAACGTATTCTTATTTTGAGTGGAGAACCGATTTCGACGTACGAACGAACAATCCGACGACCCTCTGTCGTCTCCGTGCCAAAAGTTATTTCCGTTGGAAATTTATCGCTCTGACGAAGAATCGAGACGTCATTTCCGGATGAGTCGAACAAAGAAGTAAAAGTTAAATGTCGTCGACCGTGTACGAAAAGATCGACGCTACCGTCCAAAATAATTGCCGCGCTATTCGCACGTTTTATACGTATATATGTATAAACATGTATATACGTATATCTATGTATATATACATATATAATACCTTGTTCAGCGGGCTTGAGTCTCGCAAAAAGAATGAAAAAAAAAAGTACCCGAAATATAAAATATGAAACCTACAGAAAAGATTTACGTGTCTTCGTGCGTGAATGAGACGAGAATGTACACGCGCGACCTATTTTCCATTTTATTTTTCATTTTCGAGCTTGTTCCAAAGTTTCTATCTACAAACGTAACTACATACATACATACATACATACATACATACGTAACAGCGATACATATTTTAATGATTTTTTCTTTCATACATGATATACGACAGAATGAGGTACATCTCACCCGTTATTTTTTATCTTGTATATAATAATAGAAAATAATTACTAGACGATCGTTCCTTCAACACGTATTAATAACTCTTTTATTTATAGTAGAATTTGTATTATTCGAAATAATAAAAAAAAATTACCAAGTGTATAGATAATTGATATAAATAAATATATATATATATATATATATATATATACATATATATATATATATATGAAACTATTTAAGTAGATACTTTTTATTGAAGAAAAATGAAAGAAAATCTTTTGGTAAGATGCTTTTGAATTTTGAAAGTACGTTCGAATAACAGTGATTTTATCTTGGTTGTTACATAAAACATAAAAATACTTTCAGTCTCTATCTAATAATGCTATACGAAGTTTCTCGCTATGAATATAATTAACGATTCGAGGGACGAGTCTCCGATTTGTCCTCCCGATCGCACACAAAGAAGGGCCAATCGAAGAAGGGTGACCTCCCTTCACCGGGAAACTCACCCTTAGTCCTCCGTCCCTTTGGCAGGACCTTCGTCGTGCTGCTGGCAATCGCTTAACGAGTCGGAAAAATCAAGTCTCCTTTGGCGAGCACGGCCTCGCCTTTGGCCCGTCGTAATGCGTGTCTAATTAACCATAAAAATAACGAGATTTTTGCGGGCACGTCCCGTGAAGCAACGTCGGAATCGATTTACGATTTGTAGAGAAAACGAGAAACAGTAAGAGAAAGAAAGAAATAGATATAGAGACAGAAGAGAGAGGAGAGAGAGGAGAGAGAGAGAGAGCGAGAGAGAGAGAGAGAGAGAGAGAGAGAGATAGGAAAAAAGAGAGAGAAAGAAGCCGGGTATTTTAAAAAGAGCTTTTCAAAACGAAGTCACGGTACATAGTCATAATGAGAAAGAAAGAAAGAAAGAAAGAAAGAAAGAAAGGAAGAAAGAGATATAAAGAGAGAAAGAGAGAGAGAGAGAGAGAGAGAGAAAAAAAAAAGAATATGAGAGAACAAGGAAGTTTTTTGCATTACTTCATAACAAAGCGTACAATTCATTCCTCCTTTCGAAGTAGATCATGAATCAAATGAACCATTCCTTCGTTATTCTCAATGCGCATTAAAAATATTCAACGGAACGTGACTCACTTCGCATAAGTATATACGATATAACGAGCGATATAACACGGTCTAACTAATTCTACGTTTTTGTGAGACGGATAAGAATTCTTCGAGTTATCCTTAGTAATAGTCAAGAGCGAAGGAGGACGTGGACCGGCGACGGTATATATATATATACATACATATATATATATATATATATATATATATATATATATATAATAATCGTATGACGGTAGATATTTCTCCCCTTGGAGAAATATCATTGGAGGAGTATAGCGGATGTAAAATTTCACCACAAACTTTCCAAGTTAGTAGCCCCAGAAAGGTAGCATCTCAATGGGGAGGAAAAGGATGAGGTGATGATTTGACCGGAGGGTGCGTCGTCAGATTTGTCTCGTTAGAGTTCACATTGTGTCTGCCTACGGCCGATTTACGCTCTCTCTCTCTCTCTCTCTCTCTCCCCCCCTTTATCTATATCTCTCTATCTTTCTCTCTCTCTCTCTTTAACTATCTATCTATCTATCTATCTATCTCTCTCTATCTTTCTCTCTCTCTCTCTTTAACTATCTATCTATCTATCTATCTATCTCTCTCTCTCTCTCTTCCTCTCTCTTTCTCTCTCTTTCGAGTTTTCCTCGTTATAGCTATTCGCATTCTTCCCTTATTCCAACCATTTTCCTGATCCTTGGCCATTTTTGTACTCCTTAGTACCTAACGAGCTTCCATTAAGGCCGACAATATGTCTCTCCCATTTGCCAGCAATTAGTAGCGTCTATCGCATTACCCTCTCGCAGAGCATCCTTTTCATTTCACGACATAGCCTGTGTGTAATCTGACTTACATATCCCGTCGTCTCTCTGTTAGATATATATGTATTTATGTATGTATGTATTTATGTATATATGTATGTATGTATGTATGTATGTATGTATGTATGTATGTATGTATGTATGTATGTATGTATGTATGTATGTATGTATGTATGTATGTACGTACGTATGTATGTATATATCTATGTAAACGTGCTCTATCACACTAACTCGAGATCTCATCCGCACCGTTAAACCGACAACGAATAATTTTTTTCTCAATGCTGAGAGAGACCACTTCAAGGATTAAAAGAGTTAACTTATATATTTTCTCTCTTCCTTGTCTGTGCAAACTTATCTTCGGTACATTCTACGGTGTACACATACATATAAGCGTGTAATTTATTTCTACAACGTTATTGTAAATGTTATACGTAAAAAAAAAAGAAAAAAAAAAAAAAAGGAAAAGAAAAAGAAAAAAGAAAAAAGTCTCCGTTCTCTTTATTCTACAAAAGACCGTTTTATTCGTACTTGTGTTTAAAAGAGAATTCTCTCTCAATTTGGTTAATCTGATCAAACATACGTTACTGTCGTTAAACAGGAAAAATCTTTTGCATGTTGTATATATATATATATATATATTCGAAGGATAAAAAAAAAAGGGACTTTGTCTGTTTCAGCGAGTTCACCGGAACTACGCCAATGTCCTTACCTTGGTAAATTCACGGTAACCGGAGTTAACCATAATCAGAGAAACACTCGTGAAAGTCGTAGAAATCAACATCAAGAGTCTCTGACGAGCAGACACGAGGGTGAAAAGGTTAGACATGCTCAGGAACGGATAGTCGAGGACCGTCGTGGTCGAAGTAAAATCGATTTTGAACTTGAAAAGAGACGAGCGAACAACGAATATCTCGTGCGTGAGCGAATGGGTAGACGGGCCAGATCGAATCGTAATAACAGAAGTCACAGAGATCAACAGGAGTCCTCTTCTTCGACAAGATTAGTTTCAGAATCACAGGAGTTGGTTCATAGGGAACACGTTTCGCATTTAAAGACGAAAAAACGAGAGAAAATTTCGGACGAGCTTGATAACGAAGAAGATGGTGATGATGGATCGAGCAGATCGAAGAGAAATTCGAAAATGACGGATTTCTTGGAAGACTTTACCGAGTTCGCTCATATGAAACAATTCTGGATGCCGAACTTCGACGACGTGGGAAAGTCGGCCATTTTAGAAGTCGACGACGACGAATACTTCGGGGATTATCCTGATACCAAGAAAGCACCGAAGAAGAGATCGTCCCAAGGCATTCGATCTTACAAGAGCATGTCCTTTGCGGATCTCACGAGGATGCGACGAGACCTCGAGAATCTTGTACACGAAGAAGAAATTACGAGCGAGACCAGAGAGAAGAGAGAGGAGGTTGAATCAAGATGCAATGCTGAGATCACCACTCTTACAGTTGGCTGTTCTACCGCAGACAGAATGGAGTTTCAAAGCGACTGCGTGGATGAGGATGCAGTTACCGGTATACCTATTACTTACTATTCTGTAATAAATAATTGATTTCTTGATTCATCGATATGAAATTCCATATACGTAATCAATGGTAAGGAGAAAGAAATAAAGAGAGAAAGAAAGAGAGAGAGAGAGAGAGAGGGAGAGGGAGGAAGGGAGGAAAAGTGAACATCCCTTAGCTGTGGGGTCAATTGGTAGAACTTTGGAAAGCGGGAGAAGGTACTTTAAAATTATGTAGGGTCCTCTCTTAATTTGACGAAACTCTGTATTATGCTCGTTGGACCCTTGCAATCGGCAAAGTTTCATCAAGGAATAATGGTGCTCGAAGGGTAACGACTGTCCCTGAGAAGTCACCCTATATTAACCCAAAAGTTCACAATGTACCCATTCCCTTTCTCTCTCTCTTTCTCTCTCTCTCTCTCTCTCTCTCTTTCTTTCTCTTCCCCTCTTTCCATGATTTGACACTTGTCCCTATTCTAAAGCAATCGTCTTTTCTGCTTTCCAGCTTACTCCTGCCATGGAAGGTGGATAGATGCGGAGGGTACTCAATTCGTGATCGCGACCCCACTCGCGCGCAGAACAACGTGGTCGAACGATAACAACAGGCCGCAGCCCTACAGGAACACCCAAAGATTGTGCTTCATGTACAAAGAGAGCGGTGGGGTTGTTAGTTTAACTGCCAGCCCCGTGGCGTGTCAAAGAGGCATCCCTCCACCCGCACCGATGTTGGCCTTCAACGCGACCAGCACCGGTAAGCAAGCCACTCTGATCCTCCCTCTTTCTCCTCCTCCTTCTCTTCTCTTTCCCTCCTCATAACCCATTACTCAAGTCTCGAGCATCGAAATACAAAGATGTTTATGATACTCGTTCCTTTCGAATTTTGACGTAATCTTCGTGTCACATAAAATTGATCAAATTCATAAAAATCGATCATAGCTATCTCCATTTGATGGTTTCTTATCAAAATCAATTTTACGATTTCACGAACAAAGTAGTGAAAGTATCGATTCACGTTGTCGCAGGTCAGTGTATGGAGGAGAACAACGGGCAGATGCATCGAGCGACGTACCTGACGATACTCCTGTTGACGGCGGTGGTCGTGATATTTAGGTGATTCTAATCGAAAAGATGACGACGACGACGACGACGACGACGACGACGACGAGAACGACGAGAACGACGAGAACGACAACGACGACGACGAAGACGACGACAACGACGACGACGACGATTTTCGAGAGAAGCGTTGAACGACCTTCGTGGGAAAATGTTTTATCGACGAGGATGCCGAGCGACGAGGGAAAAAAAAAAGAAGAAGGCAGAGCGAGAGAGACCGCCTCTGGCGCGAAGCAACGGCAGCGATCGTTCGAACGTCGAGGCCAATGGAAAAAGATGGTGGAAGAGAGGTGGAGAAGGAGGAGGAGGAAGAGGAAGAAGTACAGGGTGCCCTGCTGCTGGTGAAAGAGGAAGGAGACGTGGGACGGAGAAGAGGAAGAAAGAATCGATTCACCGGCTTTGACTGCCTTCGGTCGATAGGTCCTGCCAAGTCTTCTATCTCTTTCTCTCTCTCTCTCTCTCTCTCTTTCTCGCTTTCATTCACTCTCCTTCTCTCTTTCTCTGTCTCTTCCTTTCTCTCTCTCTCTCTCTCTTTCTCTCTCCCCCCTCCCCTCTCTCTCTCTCTCTCTCTCTCTCTCTATCTATCTATCTCTCTTTCTCTCTGTCAGGAGAAATTCGTGCTCGTACGATCATCGTTTTGGGAGTAAAGGGAAAAGGAGAGGAAGAGGAGAAGGAGGAGGAGAAGGAGGAGGAGGAGGAGAAGATAAAGGGGAGAGAATCAGCTCGACCGCCAGAAGGTACAAACTCCGCACACTATCGTCGACCGTCGATCCTTTGAGGCGAGCCGGTGATCTTCGATCCGTGAACGAAAGGATAAGGATGCACCCGGAGAACGTGTGGACTCTTTTTCCTTACTACGGTCAAACGAACGAACGATGAGAGAGTAAGAAATAGAATGAGAGAGAGAGAGAGAGAGAGAGAGAGAGAGAGTAAGAGGAACAGAAATAGAGAGAGAAAGAGAGAGGACCAGCTGTATGTACAAGCGAGAAAATACGCGTTTTCCTTCGTCTCTCGACACTTCTCGCCAATACGGCCAGTAGCTTTTTTTACCGACACGTTGTGTACACATGTAGCTCGTAGTAAACGCGCGCGTGCTAGATAATTAAAGTCCTCGATAAGAGAAGAAAAGGATGAACGAACGAACGAACGGTTTACCGTGGTCGGACCATATCAAAGCGAGGCAAGGATCGGTCGATCGTTCGTTCTGTTTCTTTCTTTTTTGGACACGAAGGATTACGCGTGGAAAGAGAGTAGAAAGAGAAAACGGGAGAGTAGGAGAAAGAGAGAGAGAGAGAGAGAGAGAGAAAGAATGAGGGACCGATCGTGAAACGAAATATAAGCGCGGTAATCTCGTTCTAGCTAGTAAGCCAAGCGACGAGGCGGGCTCGTTATCTTCTAAGGTAGGAACTACATAGACAGAGAGACTATCCTTGATAAAAGCAGAGACGACGACGGGCAATTTACTCTGCAAACGTTTCCCTCCTGGAATCACGGTGCTCGCCAGACTTCTCCATCTTTTATATATATATATAAACCCACTTTAGGCGACGTAGGCGCCTTTAATTTATAATTATATATGTATATGTATATATATATATATATGTATATATATATATATACATCCAAGAAATGTATTTATCCATCCATGGCTTGCCTAGGAGAGGATGTCAGAAGAAAACCGCCGAAACCGATGGAGAATCGTGAGCGTACTATATCGGCACGAGATCAAATTCCATGACCTTTCGTTGTGTGTATGTTTGTGTATATGTGTCTATGTGTGTATTGACAGTGGAAACGAATTTTAGAGTAAATCGCCCTACGACGATTGAAAAGTGGCGATTTCTTCTCAAACGCCAAGGATAATTTTAATGTTTTTGCCTGTATAAAAAGATTATTATAAAGCGACGAGGGCTATGTAAGAACAAGTGATTCAACGCAATACAACCTACTCGATAATACATATAGGAAAATGACTATTTTATGCGACTAATAGGATGAGAGAGAGAAATGATAGATAGAAAGAGAGAGAGAGAGAGAGAGAGAGAGATACGAACCATGTGAAAGGACAATGAGAAGGGGACAGAGAAAGAGGTGAGAACGATAAGTGATGTGAAATAGAAGTTAAAGAAGAGGAAGAAAAATTTGAAAAATTTTATACTTCGCTGCACATTTATATGTCGTCGTATAACTGTGATCGATTTTTTTTTTCTTTCCGACGAGTTCGCCTAAAACAGAAGAGAGAAAGAGAGAAAGAAAGAGAGAGAGAGAGAGATATATATATATATATATATATATATATATATAAAGAGATATAAAGAGCCAAAGAATAGAGAAGATTTATTCTTGCATCTCTAATCCGCGTTGCGAATCTCTTCTAAACTCTTTCTCTCATATCCCTCCGACTCGACCTCGATGCGATCGCGAACCTTTTCATTTCTATATTTTCTTGTAGAGAGAAAGAAAGAGAGAGAAATAAATAAAGGAAAGGAAAAGAAAGAGCATAGGGAAAGATTTTGTTTTCGCAAGGGCACCGAGGTCTCTCCCTTTTCTTTCTTTTTTTTTTTTTTTTTTTTCTTTCTTATAGCGTAAGGAATAAGCAATAAAAAACGCGCAATGGCTGAACGCTCGATAAAAGAGAGAGAGAGAGAAAGAGAGAAAATAAAAAAAGGAATAAAAAAAATAAAAGCGGCAATTAAATGGCGTAAACGATTAATCGTATTTACGAGAGGTAACTCGACGACCTTCGTAGATATATTGATCGGGAGAAATGATTATATATCTATTGTGTACCGATTTTCCCTTGAATTCGGATTGAATCTATTTGCGAAATGAAAAAAGCTTCGAAGGAGACGGCGACGTAAGGAACGGGCGAATGCAAACGATATTATTGTAACTAATACAGAGTCTATATATTATATTATTGTACAACCATCTTTGTAATAATTAACCCAAACCGAGTGACGAGAGGATAAACAAAAGGAGGAGACGTGCAATGAGAACATTTGACAATGAAGAGAAAACATGAGAGTGTTCGTATGCGTGTGCGTGTATGTGATTTTATGTGAGAAAGAAAGAGAGAGAAAAAGAGAGAGAGAGAGAGAGAGAGAGAGAGAGAAAGAGAGAAATGGAATGCGACCGAAATAGAGGATGGCACAGTGAAACATAAAAAGAAAAAAAGCCAATCGCTATTTTACCACTTTTTCAATCGCGTTATCGTAGTTTGTATACTATTAAACTTTTCTTCGATTTATCGTTAATTACGTAAACGAAAACCATCGTCGGACGTTCCGCGAATAAATCCTCGTGTTTAAATGAAATTGCAATTTATCTTCCCTAATGTAAACATCTTATTTACTTAACATTTTCCATTCGTAGTTTGTTTATCTTCTCGAACGTTATTTTTCCTTTGCCAAACTTTCATGTCATTCTAATTACTTTTACATCAATCGAAACTTTAACGTCCTTCGTAATATTCGATATTGTAACAGACAAATTAAAAATTGATTTACAAAGGATGAAACGTAATAATTAACGACGATGGTTTTTTTGATCCAGTTTTGTGATTTCGTGGTTCTTCGATGATAAAGGAACCTAATCGAGATTAATTTTCTTTTTTTTTTTTAATCTCCTCGAGTACCTCGGTACTACACATGACGAATAAAATCTCTTTATTGTTATTGTATCGTCATATTGCGCACACAGAAGATGAAAGGAAAGAAAAAAAAAAAAAGAAAAAAACGAAAAACAAGAAAAAAAAAAGAAAAAACAAAAAACGCGATGCTTTATCGGGCCAGCTCGCAAGGCACCTTTTAATTTTTCACGGACAGGTAGGTCTTAGGCGTTAGTAAATCTTAGCAAATTAGCAGCATAGTAATAACGTATCTCGTACCTAAGAAATGAAAAATAAAAGCGGAGCAGCGTATTTAGCATAACGCATAAAGGAAAAAATCTTTAGCCGATAAGAACGTCTCATAGCTTCGTAGGTGATAATAAGCTCATTGTGACAGCAATCAGACGTGGCTGCCCCGCGGTCAAATCGCCAATAACCTTCTCCCTTTATCTCCCTTTACCATGATAGATACTCGATAATAAATCCTGACACGACATTGATCTGTCGCACGATGGATACAAATCTCAAAACGTACGCAAAGGAGTTAGAAAGAATAATCTATCGAAGGAATATAAGCAAACGTTAATGGGAATCATATTTTAAAATTATTACAATACGATTTACATCTATACAATCAATTTTAAATGAATACGAATGAATTTTAAAATCAACTTCCAGTTATCTTTTAAATGTTTTTAATGGTTTTTCAAAGGGAACATCGGATGTCATTTTTAAATGAACGAATGCTCAACGAAAATCTACATCGAAAGATTAACATACATACGTGTTTATACATATGTACACATATACACATACACACACACACATATGTGATTGCGACGACGCGACGCAGTGGTCTCAGGCCGAACGAACGACCGCTCTCCGTTGTTTTCGATTTGCTTGGTGCAAACAGCATCGAGAAATTCGATAATTTTCCAGAGCATCCACAAACATCGTTACTAACCGACCACCTCAATTCGCGTCGACTGCACTCTCATGAAACATTATGCGCGCCCCGCTTAATGAGATTGATGCAATCGCCTGATGCGTTTAATGCTACCAATTTACATTGGGCCCTAATATCGTGCGCGCGCGCAGACATTCCACTAATGGAGTCGCTAATGAGAAACAGAAGCAACCCTTTCACCCATCCACCCACGTCGTCTCTACCTCTTCGACTCTCTCTCTCTCTCTCTCTCTCTCTCTCTCTCTCTCTCTCTCTCTCTCTCTCCCTCTTTCTTTCTCCCTCTCACTTTCTCTCGTCTTCTATCTATCTATCTATCTACCTCTCTCTCTCTCTCTCTTTCACTCTCTCTTTCTTCCATTTTTAACGATGCATATAACCGAGTCGTTTAATTCAACGAACACGATAATTCATTTACATTATCCCGAAGAAACTCGTTTATTTATCGTTATTCGATTGAACATAACGTATAACTACGCTGATTCGAAAATCATTATTATTATTATTATTATTATTATTATTATTATTATTATTATTATTATTATTATTATTATTATTATTATCACTATTATTATAAATCATGAGAAATCCTTTCTATCTTGAATATAACATTCGATCATAAATTTCAATCGAAGTTAATCGAAGTGAATTTTATCGTAGAAATGACGTAAATAGGAAGAAAAGGATATCTTAATTCTTAATCAACCTCGTGACAATCCTGAAATCCGCTTGCGATTTTAGCAATCAAAAAATATAGGTACCTATGTGACGTGATGAGCAGCGATGCATTTTATTATTCGCGATAATGCGTATAAATTTAAATAATTGTTGGATATTTTGTATGCACGTTCGTTCGTTGGTTCGTTCATTCGTTCATTCGTTCGTTTGCGTAAATTCAGATCGGAAAGGCAATCAAAGAATTATCCGCAGTGCGGATATAACCACGCGAAACCAGTCCCGACGACGGTTACGAATGAAGCACGGCTTACGTAATCGGACTTGTCTGCGTTAACGATTTTATGGGACCTCGTCTAATGGGATTATCGGATTACTTCCATGTCCGTACGAGTACTCCCTCGCGATTTATTACTACCGTACGTTGGTGGATTATGCTGCTCATTCTTGGATCTCCTTCCTCGTACGAAGCCGCAATACTCTCGCGGGAACCTTTAAACTCGGCATTCGTGACACTCGCGGCCGAACGAATCAAAATGAAAAGTGCTTTTAAATCGAATCAAAGTTCACAAAAGTAAAGTCGATCACGTCGAATATTTCTTTCATTGAACGTTCTCAATCAAGACCGAGACACGTGAAATTTAAATAGCCGAACACTTTTCGTCACCGTCGGACGACACGTCTAATGGCCTTTTTATAAAGGTATTATATATCGTTCGCGATTTTTCAAAAGTAAACTTCTCGATCGATAAGAGAATGCGAACTTGACTTTATAAGAACATTGAAAAGAAAATATAAAATTGATATTATATCTTAATAATTAAACATTAAAAGTTCCATAAGAGGAACTACGATTTCTGAACTCATCAAATAATCACTCCTTTAGATAGATCAAACATTGTTAAATTATTCCTATCTAAAATTACTAAATAACGACAATCTTTTCGTACCTAATATCGTGATACAACAGGCATGTCAAATTCATTTCGATTAGCGAATAAATTAAACTAATTTGGATTAACAGATTGTATACTATCTGTTACATTTTCCAAATTTTTCATCACCTTTTCATTTTCTTCTTGTAAAAATGATATATGATGTATTAAAAAAGAAACACGCACATGTACGCACACAGATGCAAATTTAATACGTGAAATTGTATACGTGCAGCCAATGTATCTTTTAATCATTTAAAAAAATTTCATGAGCCTAATACTTTGACATGCCTGTCATATAATGGAACCCCTTGAAAAAAAAAAGAAAAAAAAAAAAAAAAAGAAAAAAAATGAGTGATCGAGAGAAATCCCATTATCATCATTTTCAATTGCTCGTATCCAAAAGAGAAAAAAAAAGAAAAAGAAAAAGAAAAAAAAAAGCAAAAAAAAGAAAAACAAGGTCGTAAAATAATCGACGCATTCCCGTCGAAAACTTATCCCGAGTCGCTATCCCTTATTACAAGTCACCCTTCTGTTTCTCATCCCCTAACGCGCGTGTCTACGTACAAATACGATATCAACGAGGCACCCTTAACAATCGTAAGAGCGTGGCTTCTAGGTGGTGGTCCATAGTCGATAGATTAAAAACGAGGGATGCTGTATAATACGTACATACGTAGCGATCCTTTGGCATATGGGAACGAAATGTACGGGATAAGTTCTCCCTTCGTTTCTCCTTTGCGTACCCTCAACCCAGAATCGAGGACGTTTTCAATCAAGGGACAATCATCCCTCGACGAGCAATCGAACCTTTTTATCGAATCATCGTAGACGTGCATCACCGTTTTCCCTCTTTTTTCTTTCTCCCATCCCGCCTCTCCCCACCGCGCCCTCTTTGCTTCGAACGATACGTATATACCCATATATATATATATACATATATATATATAGATACATATGTAAACACACACAGGCATACATACATACCCAGAGATACATATACACATACATACATACATACATACATATATACATACATACATACATACATACATACATACATACATACATACATACATACATACATACATACATACATACATACATACATACATACATGCATATATACATATATAAATCCTTCGTCATTCTTCGCCCTATATCCATGGTAGAACGACAAGAAGATTTTTCGAAACGATCCAAGAGAAAAAGAGGAGAAAAGAATCAATCGCGTTGCTTATGCAACTTTTCTGTCTTTTCTCCGGTACTCATACCCAATTCCATCTCCCGAAGATAAAAATAAAAGAGGAAAAAAATCGAAAGAACGTATAGGTGTACGTACGTATGTGATAAGGACGTACGAGTATAAATATATACATATATATATATATATATATATATATATATATATATATATATATATATAAATATACATATAAATATAAATATATATATACATACATATAGTATATAGGATATATGTTAATATCGTATACACGTATTACATGATATATTTGGCGAGTATACGTGCATCCTTGCGTATGCGTGCGAGCGACACTATTCTATTGGAATGCATTACGCACGTAACACGCGACAGGCCGCGGGGCAATGATGTATAGAGAACGATGAAAGAATGAATGAAAGCATGTGTGCTATGAGTATATGCGTCTAAAAGAGAGAATGAGAGAAAAAGAGAGAGAGAGAGAGAGAGGGGGGGTGGGAGGGAGGGAGGAAGATAGAAAAAGAAATAGTGAGGCATATTATTTCCTTCGACTTTTCACGATACGTGATTGGAGGATAACGAATCGAACTGTTCTTTCTTTTTTTTTTTATGTTTGTTTTCTATCAATATAATTCTTATATATTAATCTATTGTTATGATATAATTTTTACTATCGTTGTAGTTAAGTAATGAGAAATCGGGACGGTTTTGTCGCGTCGAAAAATAATTTCAAACGAGGACATTGGAGAATTTGCAAATAAAAGAAAGAAATAAAAAAAAAAAGGAAAAAGAGAGAAATAGGGTGTGAGAGAGAGAGAGAGAGAGAGAGACAAAGAGAGAAAGAACGAACAGAGATCCAAATCGAACGAACATCGACGTTCGATTCACGATTTTCAACGACTCGCGATCGTTTTCCTATTTTAGCGAGCGCACCATTAGTGCTCGACCGTCATTGTCAACCGACTCGATTTACCGATAGACCATAAAAGCCATCGGCCGCGTTTCGAAACGACGCACTCCGATTATGATCGTTCTCGCGAGCACGAACGTTCGCTGCATAATGCGCTTCGCGAATTGTGCAATTGCGTTAAACCGACGTACCGAGTATCGGCATTCTCGTTAAGTATCGATTCCTCGATCGTGAGCATTAATAACGATGGACTTGTAATGGTAGGAGAAGGTAGAAGCTATTTTGGCGGGCGATATAAACGAACCAATTGTTATCGATATATCGAACGATAGTTTTCCTTTAGCTTTTTTTCTTTTCCTTTTTGATTTCATTTTTTTTATCTTTTATTCTTTCTTTTTCTTTCTCTTTTTTTCTTTCTTTTC